ACTCGTACAAAACAATGTAGAGTCGCGTTCGTTTTGTGACTTTTGCGTATTATTTATTACATAAAATATATGTGATATATTATTTGATTAAAATTGATCAAATCTGTGTAAAGTGATGTGATATTTTGTGTAAATAAACGTCTTTTATACGTTTTATTAAGTAACCACGTCGGTAAGGAAACTGAAACGGTCTCAACTGTAAGTTTTTTATAAACTATCCGTTTTCTTCTAATTAAAATTTTTAATTGATGTAAATATGTGCGATTCAAATGTGTTACAAAAAAAATATAAGCAAAGCGTTTTAGAAGCTTGGCTTAACGATAATCGATGTAAATCCTGGATACAAAAAGTACCATTAAATGATAGTGTTTTTCATTGTACTGTATGTCAAAAAAATTTTGCTTGTAACACAAACATTTCTAGACACGCGGATTCTGTAGGTCATAAAAATAATCTTAAAGAAAACATTCCTGGAAATGATCATAAAGAAAACATTTCTGGTTTCTTAAATAAAGAAAATGTGAACTCACAAAAAAATAATTCAAAGACATATAAATTTAACAACCAATGGTTGGAAATAGAATCATTTCAACTATGGTTACGCAAATCACATGACGACAAATTATTTTTTTGCTCGTTTTGTGAAAAACATATGTCTGCCAGATTGTCAAGTATTTATGATCATGCAGAATCCGCATCACATGTAGCATTAGCTAAAACCAAAAATGTAGAACATACTGAAACAAACGATGATATCAAAATGACAGACGAATGTTTATCGTTTAAGAAACGAAAGAAAGCAGCAGAAATTCGATTTGCTGCGTTTATTGTTGAAAAAATATTGCGCTTCAAACAGCATCAGAAATTCTTAGATTATTCAAAGAAATAGGAAAAGATTTAGACGTATTACAAAGAATGACAATGGGTCGAACTAAGTGTCAGAAGATACTTTGTAATGTGTATTATGTCCCGTTGAAACAGATCGTGTGGTCGACATTATAAAAAATAATAAATTTTCTATTTTTATTCACGAAACGTCAGACATTTCTAATCAGAAATGGATGACGTTCTTTGTTCGATATGTTCATCCTGAAACATTAAACGTTTGCTCGCAATTAGTGAAATTAATTGATATTGACGCAAAAGATTGCAGTGCGGAAAAATTATTTGACGCGTTTAAAGCTAAAATGTAAAAGTTTAAAATTTCATTTTTAAATATTATTGCCTTGTCATGTAACAATGCGCACATCATGACAGGCAAATATTTATCATTTAAACAGAAGCTTGGGGAAATTTGTAAACATTTATTAACATTTTCATGTCCGTGTCATTCCGCTGCTCTGGTTGCAAATAATGCTTGCGAGAAAATTCCTGACTATTGCGAGGAATTCGTAAAAAAAATAGCAAATTATGTTAGCAGTAGTCCCAAGCGATCTGCTATTTTTTGAAGAATTTCGCAAATGTTTTCAGGAAACAAATCGAAAACTCCTAAAGTTGGCCAACACACGATGGCTTTCTCGGCATTCATGTATTGAAAAACTTCTAGAATTTTGGGATAGTATCAATTATTTTTTAATTGACATAACAACAAATGAGAACACAAATTTAGGAGAATACTTTATTATCTGTGATGCGAAAACCTGAAGTCAAAGCATATTTATTATTTTTACAATATATTTTAAATTTTTTTAATTCTTATAATGCATGTTTTCAAGCTTTGGAAACTAGAATACAGGAGTTGCAACCCGAATCACAAAAATTCTTATATAATATTTGTAAAAATTATATAAATCCAAAGCTTTTGCAATATATAAATAATAATAATTTCAATTTTTCTAATAAAGACAATCACAAATCTTTTAACAAAAATACATTTAGGAAGTGATTGTGAAAAATATATTGAAGAATTGATTGTGAAAGGGCATGCAGGCGTAATTTCTAATATTAGAGAAAATTGCTTACAATTTTATGTTACTGCTGCCCAAGAAATTTGTAAAAGACTACCAATAAATAATCTATTCTTATCAAAATTAAAAGTTTTTAAATCGGACATAGCTTTATTTGATAGTAACAGAGAAACTTCTTTTAATGATGTTTCTTTTGTCGCTCAAACTTTTAGTGCGTTTGACGACAATAGTTTGAAAAAAGAATGGTTTGCTTTACATCAAGGTTTCACGCAAGCAGAAAAAAATTCTCTGACAAAATTAACGTTTGATGAAATGTGGACACAAATTTTTCACCGTACTCATCAATATCCCAATTTGAAGTCTCTCGTGAATACTGTGAGATCACTGCCAAATTCGAATGTCGATTCAGAAAGAATCTTTTCCTTTTTACCAGATATAAAAACAAAAAAAGTTTTAAGATTATGGATCTATAAAATAGGATTTTTCTTTTCGTTATTTAAATATAGAAAATAAAAATTTATACATGTTAATTAACAATATGTATTACAAAAAATATTTTATGTATATTAGTTCACATATTTACATATAGTTTTATTTTTTTAATATGAATAGGACAAATATCACATTTTAGATGCAAATAATGTTATTAAGTAATTGACTCATACATATATTAAATATTATATGTCTTTTAAATTTTAAGTATTCGTAATTATACGATAAGTTTATTTACGTATTTGAAAAAAAGTTTAATATTAACAAATATATATATTTATTATATTAATATTCTAAAATCTTTTTATGACTTCACTGTTAATATTCTAAAATCTTTTTATGACTTTACTGTTAAATGTCATATTAATAATTTATACAAATATGTTATGTATATATCTTATTTTAATAATATCATGACTTTTTACAAGATTACAAAACTGCGTTTCTATATTCAATGCCAGTACTCAACATCTATACTTCACGTTACATGTGTTATAGATTACCACTACTGGCAGTGAATATCGGAATGCAGTCTAACAACGAAAAGCGTTGGCATATGTAACAAGCGCGTTACGTGCGTTGCCTCGTGGTCGGCTTGGTGGAAAAGAGACAGAACATACTATTTCTGCACTCTTCCATGAGCTGACAGTCGAGCGTGACGTCACGCACACGGACGCGGCTCTCGCTTGTATGCGTACGAGGCAGCGAACCCCCACCAGTCTCCACCGCTTTGATGCTCTCGATGCTGTCCTGCACGAAGGCTGCGTTCGGGGAGCACGCTATCAGCGCTATTGCGTCATTCTATCTTTGTTTTACATCTAATGAGCAATAAAGATAGAATGATGCAACAGTGCTGATAGTGCGCTCCCCGAAAGCAACCGAAATGGCATCTCTGGCCTGCGCGCAAACCGTCGCTAGGTGCGTTTCGACAAATCTCTAGGTGAGTGCGCCTTAAGGTATTTTCTCAGAAACGTCGTTCCGTATCCCAAAATCTCGATTAACTGGTGTCACACACAAAAGGTTACCTGTTTTAGAACATATAAGCCTCTTGCACCATGCGAGGGAATAGTGATAGCGATAAGCAATAGACACAGAATTCCAACTCGTCGGAAACTTTATGGCTATTGCTTATTCCGTTTTCTGATCTGCATTGATACACGTGTATTTTTGTATGTTAGATTCCGCTGTTCCTACCGTTATTTATAAATATAAACTCTTTAAAACTGGTGTTATTTCTATCGCTATCGCTATTTCTTCCATTGTGCAAGAGGCTATATACTGAAAGAGGCAAGCTAACTTGCCGTTGTCCGCAACATCTATCTATCCTTGTCTGTACATGGTACCACAATACGCATGCGTCAAGTATGTTGTATGTGTGTATGCATACAAGCTAGAACATATATATACCTTCTTAAGGCCATCACACATAAAATTACGTAAGATCGTAAGACGTAGCCGTAAGAAAATTGACCAATCAGAATGTATTTTATATTTTCATCACTTTTGGACATAAATTTCTGATTCAATCTCCTTACTGCTACGTCTTACGGTCTTAAGTAATTTTATGTATGATGGTCTTTAGTCGGTTATCCTCTCACGCAAGCGTATTGAAAGATTTTGGGAGCTTTCCAGCTACGTACACAGGCGACACTGTGTAACACAATGTTCATTAGTGTGAGAAAGAGGATATCAAGGTATTTCACTCACACTAATGGACACTGTGTTACACAGTGCCTGTGTACGTAACTGGAAAGCGCCCAGTGTCGCCTGTGTACGTAACTGGAAAGCACCCATTGTCTTACTACATTCCTAGCTTTTACACTAGACTCTCAACGAAAACAAAACTTGTTATCTTTTTACTTATAAGATAATAATAATGATAATAATAAAAAATTAAAATTTTTCTTTTTCTAGGTCCTGTCATCACACGCACATCCGAACTATTATCACTTGACGGAGTACAACTGGCCGCCGCTACTCAACCAAGTTAACAGGTAATAATAATAATAAGTAAACAAAAATCAATTCCAAGTATTTTGAAACGAACATAAAACATATCATATTCTTAAGCAGACGCTATGTAGTTAACATGACCAACAAACAAGAACTAAAACCGAAAACACTGTTAACCCCACTAAACCTATTACTCGTGCTGGACTTAAAGTGAATGCAAACACTGGATTTTTCATAGCCATCTTAAATCTACTAAAAACAACTTTATAATTGTTTTACTTTTACAAACCATAAACGCAAAGTGGAATACAAAGTCTTAATTGTGCTACTAACGGATCATATGAATATAATTTATATACTTATGCATACGCGTATACCAAAACTAGTAAAGCCTCTAAATAATAAAATACAATACTAACATAAATAAAACGATAAATATATCATAATCAGACGTGGTTAACGCACCATCGTCTCGTTTTAATTTTAAGAGTTACCTAAGCTCACAGCTCTTCTGAGAAGTTCCGCCAAAAAGTGACGCGCCCAATCGGCCACTATCTTTCCGCTGAATTCTGCCTCCCAAGCCGCCTGCGCTCTCATCATTCTGATTTTGAAGGTGACGCCGGGGTTCCCGTTTGTTCCAGCGTTTTTTGTGTCAATACCAGACTCCCCGATCTACTTCGGTGTGTTGACATTGGCAGTGTTTGATGTCTTCATTACTTCCGTTTCGAAAATATTGCTCTCGCAAGCCTGTTGTGTCTGGCGTTTTTGTAATTCAATTTTGCTTCTGCGTTGTCGGACTATGGATATCAGAGCTTGTTTTTCAGCTAGAACTTTTTCTGACTCTTCTACTGATTTAACGTAGAAGCGATAATTCTCCTTCAGTTTGTCGTCCTTCAACGCTGTCATCATCTCATCTTGTTCTAGTATTAATCTCCTGTAGTGTGTAAGCTCACCGAAATTTCGAAGTCCGGTAATCAAATTTAAACTAGCCTGTCGGCCCAACGCCGCCGATATTAACGCCGTATCTTCTACGACGATAAACATTTCAGATAATTCGACGCCCGCCACAGTGAAGTCCACCTTCATCGTACGCCTCGCCGGTGCAAAGTTCTCGACATCCCCTTCAGTCAGCACCACTCGAGACGTGGATTCTGGGTATTGAAGTAGGCATTCACATAAGTCGCGCGACAGTACATTTACTTCGGATTCTTTGTTTATTTGCAACATGAATCTACAATTCACCACCGACGCGATTATTTCTGGTCTTTCCAGTACGCGATCTAATACCGCGCACGCTTTATAATAGTTTTCGGAAAATACAATAGGATTGTTAGGAAACACTGATTCTCCGTCGTCCGGTTCTCCCTCGGACATATCGATCAGTTTCATCGTATCCTGTGAGTCACTAGTTAAATAGTCTTCTCTATTAATATCAACGACGTCCAATACACAGATATCGTCGCCACTAGTATCTTTGTTTCTCTTCTTTCTTTTCTTCAAATATTGTAGTAGTCTATAGTGTCGTTCCATCTTTTCTTTGGATGGATTGCAGGCTTGTTCGTAGTTCGACATTGTCTTAATTTCTTCGTCAACGTCGTTTTCATAAATTGCTTGATAAGTACGTTTAACTTTCTTCCTTTTGCTAATTCTTTGTTTTTTCTGTTTCAGATCCGGTTTGTCGTGAGAGTCATCTTCCGTCCGTTGGGTTCTTCGACGCCGCTTAGGACATCGCTGGATTTTATCTTCCCCGTCCTTGTGGAAATCATCGTAGGAATTGTCATAGAATCTCCTCACAAGTAAGTTTTCTACATGTAAGCAATTAGATTTAGGATCAATACGTAATAGCTTTTGCAGAACTTTGCAGATCCTTTTGTCCTTCTTAATCTCTTGTTTTTTATTCTCTATCCGCTTCTTCAGCATAGATAATAAGGCTGCTTTTCTCACACGGATTTCTTCCTCCTTAGCCGCCGCGACTTTTAACCTTTGACACGCCTCTTGATCTCCAACTGCTATCTGCTCTCGGAGAAGTTCGTCTTGCTCTGCCATATTCGACTTTTGCTCTGCAAACAATAATTAAGTGAGATTCTATTATTTGGATCGTTTCACGGCTCAGCGCCACTGAAATCAGCGCTGGTCTTTAATGACGACGGAAAGTGATGCCACAATAAAGTCCGTTTAAACTATGCGTTTAGCCGGGGCATCTTGCGTCGATACACCGGACACCGCTGTTAGGGACATGGATTCAGGATATTGTAACAGACACTCGCATAAATCGCATCACATTTTATTCACATTTGTCATCTAGTATTAGTTTAAACTTGTAATCTAAGATAGACGCTACTTCCGGTTTATCGTGTACTTTTTATGTAAAAAGATCTCTAAGAGTTTGGTCATACGCGATAAGTTTTTGATAAATCGCCTATCCCAATTTATCAGCTCCAAAAACGACTAAAGTTGTTTTTTGTTCTCGGTCTTTCAAACAGCGTCTCTAGTGTCTTGATTAATCGAAGCTTTTATTTCAGAAAAGATATATCCTAGAAATATAACTTCGCGCTGTAACCAGCTTTTCTCAGCTTTCCGAGAACATATTCGAGATATTCTAAGTGTTCTTTGCATAAATTAGACGCGATTAAAATATCGTCTAGGTATACGATTAGAAAATCTAAACTGTGATCGTTTAACGCCAAGTTCATTGCTCGCGAAAAGGATGAACTCGAGGTCTTAAGCCCAAATGGCAACTTTCTGAAAACGTAAGTCTGATTATTGTATATAAAGCCTGTATATTTTTGACTTTCCTCGTCTAAGGGAATCTGTCAAAACGCTTGCGTAACGTTTAACGTCGTGAAATATTTTCTGTGGCCTATTCGTTGAAAGACTTCTTCTATCGACGAAGATTGCGCGTGATCGTTCGACATACGTTTATTAAGTTCCCTCGCGTTCAGATACAGTCTGATTTGGCCATTTTTGTTAACAACCGCCACTAATGAGTTTGTGTATTGTGTAGGTGAATTCCTACGAAGAATTCCGTCATTCTCCAATTCGTTAATATACTTTGTAACCGCTTCGCGATGTACTTCAGGAATCGGGTAAATTTTAGCCTTAAACGATGCTTTCGAGTTCACTTTATTTTATGTACGTAGTGATTTACGCATCTGATGCCTTTTTTAAAGATATCTTGGTTTTCCGTCAAAATTTCTGTTACCTGTGCGTTAGCTTCTTCCCTATAGTATAGACGTTTTATTGTCGCGACGTGCGCGACTTCCTCTAAGGAGAGTTGCACGTATTCTCCGGTGCAATTGATTATTGCGCGGTGTCTTGCAAGAAACACCATTCCTAGTATTATTTCGTAAGGTAACTTTTTCATAATGTAAAATTCAATAACGTATACCTTATCGTTAATGACAACATCTAACGCTGTTTTGAACGCGATTGGCTCACTTCGATCGGTAAAAGCGCCTCTAACAGTGAAACAATTAATTGGTATTATAGTTATATCCGCGTTAAGAGAATATTTTGTCACAAATCTTTAGAAATACTGTTAATTTGCGCTCAGTGTTAATCAACGCTTTAATTAAATTTTTTTGTACCAATTCTAACTTTGAGTATTGCGCTAACTTTATTACAAATTTTATTCAGCTTGTAACCTTGGAATTCCTCCAGGTCTTTAATAATTTCATCTGTCCTTAATAAAATTTTTCGAAACTCCCCGCCAGAATATGACGATCAACAATCAAAACTGCTACTGTCGGTCGAGTTTATAACCATCATCTTGGCGCGGGATTTCGTCTTAGCCGCTGCTTTCGTCTTACCCATTGGTTTAAACTTCGTTTCGCGAATCTTAGATGTATTTGGCTTATAAGCTTCTTACGCGCTCTAGAATCGTCCTCGTCGCTACTGGGATACTCGATAATAGGTTCTGGATCAGGTTGTTGACTGGGTTGATATTCATCTTTGCGTTGCGCGCCACTATCACGCTTAACATATCGTTCTTACGAATTACTTCTGCGGTGTATCTGCCGCGATGTGAACAATCAGTTAACATATCTCGATCTCGTCCTGACCTCCGCTAATTTTGATTATTTCCGGCGATTTTAGGGTCGCTTGTGCGTTTCTTACCCCGATTGGAATATTTATTGCCGCTTAACCTTTGTTTGGTCTTTATATATTGAATAACCGTGTCTGCGTGCATCAAATCGATTAAGTCATTAATTTTCATTACTCCCGGTCTGATCAGTAACGTGTTTTGCGAATCAAAATGTCTCGAGATACACGATATAAACTCGCGATCCGACATTGATGAGTCTAACGACTGTGACAAACGCGACAACTTCAAAACATATTTGGATAAAGTTTTATTTTTATTTGGATCGTATTTACCCATATATATCCTTTAACATACACGGCTTTGTACGGATTCATTCCAGAATCTCTGTAAAAACTGATTTTTCATCTCGTCATAAGAATCGAAATCGTACGCATCGAACCAACTTGTCACTATACCGGTCAAGCAACGCGGAAAATGTGAAAATCATTCAGCCGGACCTACTCTTTTGCGAATCGCTAATGTTTTCATATTGTTTCAGGAATGCAACTGGATTAAAGTCTGTTTCTTTCCCGCTGAACTTTAAGTCTTGAAAAGGATTGACCAACCATTTTCTTTTAGGTAAACAAAATAGTGGACATCCGTAAGGTACCATTTGTGAGTTATATTCAATTAACGATTTATTTATATTATTACGATTTGCATTCGCATTGTGTCTTTATCTTCAGATACTTTCCGAGTTTCGTCTAAACGATCGTTCCTATTGTTGCCCGTTGCTCCCAACCAGAAAGCAAGAGGGACAAAGTCTACTCATTAAAGTAGCTACTTGCGTCCGTAATTCATACATCATTTTTTGCATTACTATAGCCGAGTATATTTCATGAGACTTGTTTGTCGCAGGGTCTTCGCGTACCGGGACCTTAAACGTCACTGCGCTTGGAAACGCACCAGTTCTCTGACAACTGCACTTCGCGTTTCTCGCGGTGGTGCTTCGAATGTGATGTCCATTAAACTTTTTGCGCTTGCCGTGGGTTGCGGGACTTCAACGGCTTTAATCGCCTCGTCGTCAGAAATTGTTTTGTCTGTTTTATGTTTATCCTTAGGCGTTCTAATAGTCGCCATTTCAAGGTAAGTACGAATTTAATCACAAATTGTTTTATTAACATCTTTAATTTTTATTTTCAGGTAATTCGGAATTACCCAAACAGGTATCAACAATTAGACTAATTACGATTATTAACGCGAAGTTTAGCAAGTATCGTATTTTATTTCAGCTCGCTTATCTTCTGTTTTGATCCTATCCTCTAACTTTTGACAAGCTCCTTATGAAATTAATACTAATTTTTCTTGTCTGATGCAGGTCACCGAGAGACTTCATGGAATTCCACTGAAGATGCCGAATCAGCTTAAAGTATTATAACCTATTTACTCTTATTAAATCGTTTTAACATACCTAATTTATAAACGTTGATCTTACTTACGCGTTTAATTGTTACTCTTAACGTTACTTAATCACTTCTTAATGTTTTAATACGAGCTTACAGTTTAACCGAGCTTTATCAATTAAATCAACTTGTTTCAAGTTTTACGGTTACCTATCAAATGGATTTATATCTCTAATTGTCTTAGTACCAAACATCCGATCAACAAAAACTTTGAAACTTAATTTTTCCAAGTGCAATCAATTGTTAAGGACTTTTGACACAGCCGTTTGATACGCAATAAAGCTTGGCTTAAAGTTAAAGATCTACTAGTTGGCTTTAACGATGGATTATAGATATAATTAAAATTTTCAAATAAATGCAAAATTCAACTCTGAAGTATTCGCTTAGACCTTACAAGTCATGAGAAAACCATTTATTTTCACTAAGAACGTACTTCTGGTTTTAGAAAATTTTCCCAATTAACCTCCGGTTTCGACTCATTGCATGTCTAGTTTAGCTCTAGCTGAAGCTATACGTTTAATTTCAGGTCAATCGGACCATGAAGTTTCGAGACATTCAATTTTACAACTAAGCTTCGAGTTATGAATTAAGGAAAATTTTTTCTCTGATATTTGTTAATTAAAGGTAGCGATCAACATACGCTATATTTCAGCTCTTACCTTCGGACTATAAGTCACATAGAAATTTGAAAGTTTAATTTTTTAACAAACTTTTTTGCTGCAGTAATTTTCAACTAAGGTTGCTGGTTCTAACCATGTGATTTGTTTTACTGTAAGAGTAGTAGTTTACTTTTAGATCTAAATTTCAACTTAAACTTTATTGCGCTGAGTTATTGGACTTCTAAATAGACCGTTTATGCAAAAATTTTTCACTGAAGATGAACAAAACTAATTGTCAAGTAAACAATGTTTTTACAACTCTGACATCCTCTAGATCAAATGCGCAAAAGCGGTGCAAGAATGTTTTTTACTGATCAATTGTTATTAACAATAGAGTGATGAGCGGTCAATATCTTTTGATCCCTTATTTGCCTTTGTGTAAAAATTTCTCTTTGATATATTGTTATCGTGATGATGCAATCTATAAATCTGTTTGAACCAGCACGGTTTGGTGCGTATATGAAAAAAACTCAAGATGTATATATGGCTGTCTTTTTTTAAATTGCTAACGTACGACATACATGCAACATTAAGTAGCCGCTCGTCCTGCCGCCATTTCGGTTAATCGCAATGTCTGGTTGTATGTCCTTGTTAATGCAAGTTCAAAAGAAGCCAAGGCATGCACAAGATGGCGTTGTTTAACGACAAAGACCAGCACCTTCACTGTGACCGAGGTTAAATATACTTGCAGTTGGATACTCACGTTTCGATGTTCTTTATTACGATCGTCAGGTATTTTCGCCTCCAAATACTAAGGATGATTATTGCTCTTATTGCAGGAACTTTCGAGTGTATCCAACGGGATCGACGTCAAGGCGAAGATATCATAAATAACTGGCCAAAACACTAACAGTGTCCAACAAATAGAACATGTATTTAATAAAATATTACATTGAATAAATGAGTAGTATGTATATATATAATGTTGGTAATGCACTACGCACTTATGCACAGAATTAATCCGGCTAGTAAGCGATACAGATTTTTTTAACGCCACGTAACTTACCTAACGTTCCACACTCTACGAGCATCTGTATACGACTACTTATAGCAGCTCAGTGTTGCAAACTCTGGCCGGCTAGCACCGAGAGCCATAGATCATAGATGCCAGATCGGAGACTCAGTAAGCATGCAACAGCAAGTAGAGGGGATACGCACACGGACACGGCTGTCGCCTGTGTGCGTATCCCCTCCACTTGCTGTTGCATGCTTACTGAGTCTCCGATCTGGCATCTATGCCGAGAGCACTGAGGCAGTGTTCACAGTTTTAGCTTCCTTACAGCATGTTGAAGCGGTGGAAGGGATGCGCACAACAACAGCGAATTTTACCTGCATAAACTCGCTGCTGTTGTGCGCATCCCTTCCATCGCTTCAGCATGCTGTAAGGAAGCTAAAACTGTGAACACTGGTGGTGGAAGCCACTGGGAGCACGCATACGGTCTGTTCTACAATACAGTCATAAGCCGTAAGTTGTAAGACATTGATCAATCGCAATTAATTATTCTTTTGTAATTGATCTGTGATTGGTCAATTTTTTACGACTTACAGCATACGACAGTATTGTCGAACAGGCTTACAGCCTGTTCTACAATACAGTCGTAAGCCGTAAGTCGTAAGAAATTTACTAATCACAATCGATTATTCTTCTGTGATTTGTCTGTGATTGGTAGAACAAACCTACAAGCGAGACCGCCGCTCACAGCCGTGGCTAGTCGCGTATCTTCGCAATGAGAGGCACGAGGCCCGAGAAAGGGAGACGCACAAAGTCCAAATATGGGCATAGATGGTCGAGCGTTATTATGCGCAGGCGCATCTACCAAATGAGTGCGAGCGAGACGAAGCATTGAAAAGAACGCGAGAAAGAGAAATGCCCAAACGTGCTTGAATGTTCACCGCATGCGCACAAAGCAGCTGGAGAGAGAGGCTACTATATTGTCTGCACCGTAACGGTGAGCTTCAGGTCGGCACNGTACTAGCAGAGAGAAACCTGAGAGCGGCCATCCTATTGTAATTTTTTACGACGGTTTCAGCCGCTGGTTTTAGNCGTATTTCCACAAAAGTGGAACTCAAAGGCCGTTCTACATTAAACGCAAGTNGCAGATCTCGTGGAATTGACCAATTGCAGAGTCAAATCAGCCAATCGACCAACGTGATTGATCAGTTCCACGAGACCTGCGACTTGAGTTTCATGGAGAACGGCCTTTGAGTTCCACTTTTGTGGAAATACGGCTAAAACGAGCGGCTGAAACCGTCGTAAAAAATTACTATAGGATGGCCGCTCTCAGGTTTCTCTCTGCTATAGGTAACGATGGCTGTGTTTCAAAATTCACTGCCAGCGCTAAAGATCTATAGTTTAAGTCACATATATTATACAATTCTAGCACTGGCAGCGTGCTGGCAGTAAATTTGGAACATAACCGATGTATGTTTGCGCGCCAAAACCAGGCGTAACCGTAAAACCTATGTCACACTACGGATTAGGATTGAGATTGGATTGCAATTTGGCCAATCAGAGAGAAGATCACTAAACTTAGGATTAATTTTCTTTTTTCTAATTGGTCAAATTTCAATCTAATCTCAATCCCAATCCGTAGTGTGACATAGGCTTAACGTTAATCGGGACCGGCTGTATTAAGAGCCGTCTACAATGGAGAGTTGTAGGCCGTAA